GGAAAGAGGCCAAGGTTGTCTTTATACCCAAACCTGGGAAACCTCTCCTTACGTCTAACCTCAGGCCCATATCCCTCACTTCTTGTGTCGGCAAACTCATGGAGCACGTACTCCAAACCAGGCTCTGCCAGTACCTAGAAGGCAAGAATCTCTTGCCTGCTTGCATGTTTGGATTTCGCCCTGGACTTTCCACACAGGACGTTTTCCTACAACTAAAACATCACATTCTTGACTCTCAAACCTGCGATACCAGAGCTATCTTAGGAGTAGATCTAACAAAGGCATTTGACAACGTTGCGCACTCAGCTATTCTAGAGAACCTTATAACCCTGGGAGTCGGCGTAAAGATGTACAACTACGTCCGCGACTTCCTCAGCCACCGCACAGCAACACTTACCTTTGGCGATCACAGCCTGCCAGGCATCACGCTTGGAGCCCGTGGTGCGCCCCAGGGAGCAGTCCTCTCACCTATTCTTTTTAACATAGCACTTCTACATCTGCCCCAAAAACTGGGTCAGATCCCCGACATCCACTTCAGCTTCTATGCCGACGACATCACCGTCTGGGCAAACCGTGGTAGTGACGCCGAAATAGAAGAACACTTACAGTTGGCACTAACCACCATCGACACATATGTTCGAGAACGTGGCCTTACCTGCTCCCCTTCCAAATCAGAGCTCTTTCTTTACCGACCGAAGCAGCATGCTTCAGCCATTCCCCCTATCTCTCTCACGCTAGGTGCCCACCCCATCCCACTTGTCTCAAAAATTCGGGTGCTAGGGCTAGTACTCTACTCACATGGCGCACATGGAGAAGTCATCAGGACTCTCCAAACACATGCTCAGCAGACCATTCGGCTGATTCGTCGCATAGCGAACCGTCGGGCTGGCCTACGCGAGCGAAACACGCTTCGCCTCACCCAGGCTTACATCGTCAGCCGCACCACGTATGCCCTCCCATACCTACCTCTCCGACAAAAAGAGAGAGACCGCATTAACGCGCTTCTACGAAGTTGCACAAAAACAGCTCTACGCCTTCCCCCAAGCACATCCAATGACAGACTCTTCAAACTTGGTGTACATAATACATTTGAGGAACTCGCTGAAGCCACCTTTACGGCACAAATATGTCGTCTGTCTAATTCGGTGAGTGGCCGCGCTCTTTTGACCCAATTAGACTTATCCCCAATAACAGAATCACCTGGAAGGGTCCCTCTTTCTTCTAACCTCCGCTCTCACCTAAACGTACCGCCCATTCCCAAGAACATGCATCCTGTGCGCGACGAGAAACGCAGAAAGGCAAGGGCCCGGGCCCTCCAGAGACAATATGGCGAGGACCAGAATGTAGTCTACGTTGACGCAGCGGAATATGCGTCAAGATCCCGCATGGCCCTTGCGGTGGCTGACAATCAGGCAAATCTCCTAACTTCTTGCTCAATTGTCACAAATTCCTCCACAGAGGCAGAAGAGGCAGCCATCGCGCTTGCTCTCATCTCCACACCTGCCACCACTATCATTAGCGACTCGAAATCAGCTATTCTTAACTACGCCAATGGCCTGATATCATGTAGCGCTGCTCGCTTGCTACGCTTCTGGCAGCCTCAGTGCTCCACAACCCTGATCTGGACGCCAGCACATGCCGGCCTCCTTGGCAACGAGGAGGCTCATTCTCTAGCCCGAGGTCTCACATTCCGGGCAGGAGAAATGGAGCCCCCTCCACAGGTCGAGGAGCGCTTGCTCTCTTTTCGTGATATTCTATCGTATTACCGGGAACAACGAAGAATATACGCACCCCCAGCCCCATCCCTAAACATAGCGCAGGCCACACATTGGCGACGCCTACAAACTCGAACTGCTCCATACCCCGTATTACTAAACGCCCGTTACCCAGACCATTTCCCCTCTTCATGCAAACTTTGCGACAAACCAGGAGACTTCCTCCACATCCTCCTCACATGTCCCACCTTCCCACATCCCCCACCTCCGGCTGTGGCAGTGTCATACTGGGAGACCATCATGACCAGCACTTCTGCGTTCGATCAGCGCCGGATCATCTCGTGCGCCATGAAGAGGATCGCACTTCAAGGGCTTTCCTTTGCTTTGTAAGGGTGCCTCCTCACTGCGAGGGTGCACCCACGTGCCATGAGGGGGCTCGGCCCCCACGCTACACAGTGGCAATAAATGTTTCTACCACCACCACTCATTTAACACCCCCTCCTACAACCACGTTAACCAATTTAGCCATCGACCCAAGTAAGTCGCAATTTAACACCCCATTTCACAACCACGTTAACCAATTTAGCCATCGACCCAAGTAAGTCGCACTTTAACACCCCGTTAACCAATTATATGCTCCGCATCCTCCTCAATGTTCCCCCGAGGGAAGCTGCGGGCAATTTTTTTTCTTAGTAAACATGAACTTGGTGGTAAAATCACCAGGACATGAAATATCAAGGTGGCGAACACAGTTCCAAAGGACAAGGCGACAAGCTCATCAACTCCGACCTTATAGTACGGCTTCACTTCATGTCGGCCGAAAAATAAGTATCAGCCGTTCATGCTCCAAGTTGACAAAAGAACATAACCAAAGGCGCAGGAACTCGACCTCTCCCAAGAAGAAGAGCAGGAACGCGAACGCCTCACGCCTCATGTGCCTTAATATTGGTCATGAGGCGCGTAAACAGCCATTCTCAGAGACAACTTCGCAGCAGTTACGCCAAAGGCTGAACAGGCCGGCAACTACTAAAAATGCCGCGAAACACCCCCATTGAAACCGGTCACCGGACATGAACTCTCGGACACGTTGGTCACGAAAACCAGCATGGACCGCACGCCAAGAAGGCGGGTGACCACACATTCTATCGTAACATGCCGGTTGACCTCAATCATGACGTAGTTAGGGCAAGTGGACTCGCGCACCACCAGTCATCGTTGTAGCCTAAGGAGGTTTTTGTATACATATATATAGCCGATCATGAGTGGGGAACAAGCCCCAGTCCCATCGCCAAACGAAGTGATGAAGATGACCTGGCAACGCCGCTGCGGCCATGTGCTCCCACGGGTGACTCATGACCACATGGCGGTGTAGGGGTACCAAAAGCTTCACAAGTCAGCGCGTCCGTCCCTGCGTTCGTCCATGCATCTGCCCCTGCGTTCGTCCATTCATTCATCCATCCGTGCAGCCATCCGTGTGTCGTTTCATGCATCTGTCTGTGTGTCCATTCGTCCATCTAGTCAACACTACAAGTACCACCATCTGGCATCTTTTCATCATATATTCAACAAATAGAAGTACCGTCATCCAGCGGACATTTCAAGGACTAAACGAGAGTCGGCACTCGGGCACTTTCTCACAACCAGCGCTTCGTGTCTACTTCCCACCGTTCACCGCTTCTAGTTCATGTATACTAGTTCACTATATTCATGGCACTGCGACCCAACCCTCGCTAAACCTTGCTGAAACCAGGGAGTCAATGCCCAGCGAGTTTAACGTGGCAACGCTTTCTGTTCAGATAGTACTCAAAGTACGTCCTTCTGTTACCAGTTTTTTTTACTAAGCATCAAACTAGAGGCAAATTTTATTGGAGATTGCTATTGAATATTAGGATTAGACGAAAGAGATTACTTGATGTATATTAGTCACTGATATGGCTCATGTGTTAAGTAAGAAGTTTCGTCACATGTTCGAGTGGCTGGTATTCAAACCAAACGCTCCTCGACTCGAATTTCGTCCTTCACTTGACGGACCCCCGTATTCTATAACGTCCCTTCACTCAAACGCTTCACCTTCACTCGAGGAAGCCGATGGGAGCACCGTCACTAGGCAAGGCAAGTAACTGCATATCAACACTAATCTGCTGCGATTCTTGAAAAGTGCAGTGCCATTTTCAGCCGAGCAGTGACCCAGTGCTCAACTCCGTCAAGTGAAGGGTGAAAGTCGAGTCGAGGAGTGTTCGTGAATACGGGGGTAAGTCACCAATATTCGTCTCTGTAAGTTATTTCATCAGAAACAACTATCTTTTTACTTATGATTAACTCGCGCGGGTTTCCTCCTCATTTGAAAAGGGTGTCCACGTGCCGCTCCTCTAGTCCGTCTACCAACTACTACGACTACGACTATATACACCGCGGACGCACGACTCATGGCATAGGGAGCTTCGCCCGAAAAAAGTTGTTAAAGGGTCCCTGAAATGGTTTTTTCGCATTCCGTTTTTGATTAGACCACTACTAGAGCAAACCATTGGCACCAGAGTTCAATCGAAAAACTTATTATTAACGGAGCTACGAGTACTAAAAACGTACCGTCCTTCTCCGCTCCGCCTTTCGCCTTTAACTGCCCTCAACTCTTCCTTCGAGCGCTCGGGGCTACGCTCCGCCTTCACGGCGCCTGCGTCAGGACGTGGCGTGAGACCGCATACGCGTAAATCCCGCCAGAGATCCGATACCGGACGTCTGTGCTGCGCGTTCCACATCCAATCAAATCAGCTGGAAACGATGACGTCAGTGGGGCAGAGCGTGTCGCTTGGGGCTTGGGCGGTTGAAAACGCGTTTGGCTGAGCCACAGCGATGTGCAGTGATCTGGAGTGATTCGCAACTTGAAAGCGTTGTAGCGAATTACACAGTTTACGCAGAGAGTTCAAATCAGTCTAAATTACCCTTGGGACTTGATCTACCGGCCCAATGTGTTTGCGAAAAATTGTCAAAACCATTTCAGGGTTCCTTTTACGATTTAGAGTACTCGGTTCTCTACTACGGATGAGCTGAAAGTCGGCCCTGGGGCCTCACACAGAGGGCTTTCAGACGCGTTTAGAAAAAAGTGTTTAACGACTTAGGGCACTTGATACTCTAATAAGTGGGTGTGTTCAGAAAAGTGGGTAACGATTTAGAGCACAAGGTACTGAAACGATTGTTTAGAGAAATTTATTCTCACAGACAGTGAACATCAATTACAATCCAACAGAACATTGCGACAGAACACAACATCCACAGCCATATGCGAGATCTGCGTCATTCAGGTGAGTGACAACAAAGATTCAGAGAATATGGTGGCACTTCGTGGTTGTTGAGCTTAAGGCAAAATTGTTGCGTCACCACTAGAGCACCGTGTTTTCTGATAAACCCGAAAAAAAACCCACATCAGCACTCACCATTGAAACTTTTGTCGATTCTAATGTATTCGTTAAACTTAGACTTTTTAAAAGGACATTTATAACATTGAAAGGGCATTCTAAAAGCTACCAATCATCTGTAGAAAAGCGTGCACCTCTACCAGTGGCAGCAACCTCGTAAACTACGCTTGCATCTATTACAACCAGCTTCAAGGTAGTAATCCGAACAAACGTAGTTGTTTTGTGCTCAAGTATACTCACGAAAAGGGCACTCAGATAAACGCAGAATTTTTTCCCTCTCTTTGCTATCCATGGTAGTTGACTCCTGCATCAGAACACAATATAGCATAGAAACACTTGGTCTGCTTAGGCTAATGAAATAACAATATTTAAAAGTGTCGTTGTGATTAAGCGAATCAGCTTTTATTTTAAATAAAGCAATGCACCCATAATACATTTATGCAATGAAGCTTTTAACTTCGGTCAGAATCATCGAAATTGTACCAGTTTTATTTAGTTAGAAGATTGTGAATATTTCGAAAACTAGAAGTAAGTGTTCGAGCGCGAGAGCATGGCAGAGAAGGAGGAGTCTCGGTTGGCACCCGTGACACAGGAATTCAATTTGGCATTGGCTTAATTCAGTTATGCGTACGGAAAAGTACTGTTAATTATATTACTTAACATGACTTACGTTTCTCGAGGCGTGTAGCTCGTTCTACTTCCGCCCCCTCGGCTCGCTGCCTCCTCTTGTTTTTAGTTCTAGCAGAATTGTCAGTTCCACTTACAATAAGTGGATTTAGACTGCTTCTTTCTTTCGCCGATTCTCATGTGTAATTTTGCGGCCTCTTGCCGCGTTGTGGGGTACAAATAAGCATTTTCCTAGCAAATATATTTATTTTCGGGATCATGGCACGCTCATCAGTGTGCGTTAGTCGTTCCCCAATAGCCTATTTGCCGGTGGCCTTGAGGCAGTGAAGTGTTGAAGACAAAGATACGTTGGGGCAATGAGCAAGTAACCTGTATCATGCACTGTCAAACGAAGCAAATGTAAAGTACCGTGGAGACACTATTAAAAGGCACCTTTTTGCTTTCCTTCCGTTTTGTGCATAATTTCGCTGTACAATTCGCTTAGATGATTTTTAAACTCTCCTTCGTATTTGAGTGACACACTTTTATTGTAATTATTTATAAGTTAAAGAATATACAATTTTGCTTAGATGATTTTTAAACTCCTCTTCGTATCTGAGTGACACATTTTTGTTGTAAATAATTATAAGAATGAGAAAGTTGATTATGTTTCTGCTTCTTTTGAGCGTCTCCTGTGATGAGTATTAGCTTGTTTTCTCGATAAGATTTGGCAACACCGAGATTCAACGACGAATCTTGGCTTCTTTCAGCTTCCATATGTGCCGACGAATGCCACCGAGCCGCCCTTTCTATATTTATGCGAAGCAATGGCGGCTTCTCCTCTGTCGTCACGCCAGATGGCGCGGCGACGTGTGCTACCAGCTGCGGTAGTTGCTATGCAACGGATCAGCTCGCTGAGCGGCCACCGGCCACAGCGAAACGGAGAGAATATGGCCCATGTAGCTCTCGCTACAAAAACCCTTTGTGTATTTTACAAGCGAACTGCCACCATGACGTTCTCTTTCGTAGTCGGCACACTTGAAAGACGCACGTTACTTCATGACCTTACAAATTTTGACCCACATTTTCTAGAGATCCTGCAGCGCACTATCGGGGGTCATCATATTAGGCAAAACAACGAGGCGGCGCGAGTGATGTATGATATTCGTAACAGAAACGAAATCGGTAGACGTTGATGGCGCGTCCTGACAGCGATGACACTGGTTGTTCTGCCTCTTGCAGCAAGGAATGCGTTTCCAAGTGTACGTGTCCGGTCCCAGCCGTGGCTACGTCCTCGAGGTCTTCGACAACCACTTCGTGCTGCCAAACCTTGGTCCTATCGGTGAGCGCATTCTCGTATGGTTTCTTCCGTGTGACGGTATAGAAAAAATTATGGCAACTTCACACTATAGTGCTGACAAGCCTGAAGGAACTTAAAGGGGCCTTGCAACACTTTCTGAGCATAGGCAGAAAACGCTGCCTTATGTAGTCGAGGCTCCCGAGACCATGCGAGCCAAATACTGTAGCGCAGTACGAGGTCAGGAATTTGCAATAGATTTTCAAAACTAACAAAAACATTTCCCTTTTCTCTACAAAGGCGCTGCATGCTCAAAAATTACGGCGTCGCAAGTGAAGTATCAGCCATTGGTTGATTTGAGCATGGCGCGCTCGGTTGTTACTGGGGCCGCCACGAGAGGCCGCAATTTGTCCACGCGTGCTCTGAAAGGCTGCGCATTCAAAGGAAAAACAAAAAGAAAGCATGCTCAAAATCACGAGGCGTGCATGACGGATTTTCTTCTCTGTGCCATTCCTCCCTGCTTAGTGTCTAGCGCTTTGGTCGGGACGAGAAAAAGAGAGAAAGCAATAGCAGCGTGACAAATCTTTGTAACTCCGCTTGTACTGGAAGGGTTGTGTGAACTTTTGCAGTGGTTAATTCGTGAGATAATAAGCTCATTTAGTGAATCCATTCCAGGACTATAGAGAAAAGTGTTGGAGGGCCCCTTTACAAGGGCACTGCCATAGCAGAGCGCACAGGGGAGCCAGCAGAGTGGCAGGAGAGGGGAGCTGATACGCTCCCACTGAGGTTATCTAAGAAAGCGCCATGTTACCCCCTTTCTGTTGGTCGGATTTACACGCTCATTCTTTGGAGCTCAGGTGTCTTTTCCTTGATGACCACTGCCTAATGGTGGCTAATTGTGGAAATTTTGTTGCATTTCAATAACGGCTTACTTCTCACGTGGCTACCTTCGTAAAGTTGGGAACCGAGGGCCGCCCGTTGCGAGAATGACGTCACGACGTCGTTTTCATTTGACATGAAAGTGTTTTATGCCGGGGTCCGCGATGGCTCCGCTGACGTAATTCTGTTACAGATATGATGTATGCCGTAGTAAAATAAGAGATTGCAAAGAAAAAAAAAGCCAGATGGGGTAGTTCCGTAGCAGGGCGTCGGACCAGTGACATCTCACTTTCCAGCACGGGACGTGCTGTGTGTTGGAATGAACATAAAATGGCGCTAATAGTACAGTACATAAGTATATTCACACAGCGACGATAAGTGCTCTGGTGTTAGTGACGACACACTCGACGAGTAGCGAAGTTCCGTTAGCGTACTTAACAAAGTACGCTTCGTGGCTTCAATGAGGAAATCTCGCTGCTCCACTGAAGCCGCGAAGCGTATGTTGTCAAGCGTGGTAACGGCAAACCATTTATATACACCATATACCGTTGACAGTCCTCAGAGCTCCTCAACTTCACGGCATTTTCGTCACGGCGCATCGGCATCACGTTGGTTAGGGTGCCTCGATGCGCGTCGAGGCACTCTAACGTTGGTAACTCTCGCGTCTTTTGAGCGCGTGCCTCCACGGGAACGGTCTCTCCTGCTCGCGCGTATCAGATCAGACTCCTCATTCAGGACAGCGCGAAGGTCACTTCGCTCGCTGCTGTGGTCGCGTTCAGACAAGGAGCACGCTGCTTACATACAACAATGTAGTAAGAATTGTGACATTTGTTCCTGCTTGTCCTATATTTGTGCGTTTGTTTCGTGCGTCTTTATGTTTAAACAGCGTGCGTTTACTGTTGAGCTGCGATATTTGTCCGCGCTCGGGCTGCTTATGCTCATTTCGCGGCTGATTTCTGCATGAGGTGTGCACTGTAAGTTTTGAGTGGCTTGCCGCTCTTAGCATGAAATTTATATTTTTTACTTTAGCACTCATTCGGTCATCATTGTGGCGAAACAATGCACAATGAATGCTCAGCTACCTCTGCGAAAACACGTTTCACTTTCGTGTTATACAACTTCCTTATAAAGGCTGGTGCACACCGGCGACTAGCAGCGGTCGCGCGACCATTTGCGACTGGTCGCAAATATTCGCGAACGGTCGCAAAGCGACTGCTTTGGCTAGTCGCTTCCTGACCGATTTTTCAGTCGCGTGACTGCGGCCGCAAAGCTGCTGGAACCAATCAGCGATGCTCAATTTTTGTTGTTTGTTCTTTCATTGCGCTAGCGAGAATGGATAAAAACAAGAAATGCGGCGCGCTCGGTTTGCTCCGCTCACTCAGCTGGTGGCGATCAGCTGATTGGCGCCGGTCTCCAGAGTTTTCGCTGATAACGATATTCGGACGTGACTCTCCGGTATTGTGACTTCCGATTGCTCGCATGCAGCCTTTGCCGGTGTGAACATCAGTCGCTTTTTGGTCGCCAGTCGCAAAAATGGTCGCGCGACCGCTGCTAGTCGCCGGTGTGCACCAGCCTTAAAAGGAATCAGCCATGTTTTTTAACCAATTTTTAAGCTTGTTTTCTTTCCCTACACGAGCAACTGCCCATCTTGTTTTCTTTTCTTGCTCGTTTATTTTCTAGTTTTGTTGCTTGTTTCTTTTCCTGCTAGTTTTTTTTTCATACTCGAGCATCCTCCCTCCCCCTCTTGCTCTGCCTAGGAAAGCAAAGTATCACCGGAGGCAGGTTGAGAGTTTGGGGGGGGGGGGTGCGTGAATACTTTGCTTTCCTTTAGAAAAGTTGAAGGACACTTTGCATTGTATATTCCTATGTGTTCAGCGAAAGCGTGCGGCTATTTTACTGTATTCTTTTTTCTTTTTTTACACACTCTTAACAATCGCATGATTGTGGAGAGAGTGTAAGGGAGAGAGGACACAGCTTGCACCGTTTGTCACACACAGGTCCCGTTAATTCGGGAGGCGATCGCCGGGCTAATTCCAAGGGCCGAAGTATTGGCCCCCCGAACCGCACCACGAAAGCGTGGACAATTTAGAAGTGGTCCTTTTTGGCGCGCCAGCGGACGCCGGTTGTGGTCCAAAGAACAAGTCAGAGCCGAGAGTTGATAAACAAAACAAATAGTATATTCTCAAAAATGGCAGATCGAAAACAATACACAAGAATGCACACTCCACAGTAGTTACATACAATACGTCACCAACCAAACAACGCACTACACAGTACAATCAGCCACACTCAAAACAACGGACACAGACAACGATACGCACTACAATGCAGTCGCATGCATTGAACAACCAAGACACTTAAAGACTAAAGAGATAGAAAACCTATTCAGTCCAAAGTTCTTGGAACCAAAGTCTAGATGATACCCTACCGAGAATCACTCACTCAAAGTCCAGCGTTGTTGTCGTTCCGCAGCCCTCGAAGTTTCTCTTCCAGGAAACCTCGCCGAAGTTTCTCTTCCAGGACCCCTGCCGTCTTCAATAGGCCACTCTCCAAGCTTCAAACTTCTTCGCCCGAACTCGTCGGCTTCACACACGCAGCTGTTGCCACGCGTCCTCGCTCGATAGCGGTAGACACACGCTCTTGCCTGTAGCTCGAGCCTTCACCCCTCAGGTGGAAATCCTCTTCATCTCCTGCTTCGTCCCTACGGACAAAACCTTCGCCGACTACACGGCGGAATCTCTACGCACTCTGGCGCCAACTTCCGTCTTCTCCTGATCTCTCATCTCGGCTGCTCGGTTAAATACCTTGCGCGCGACATTCCAGACGGTTCTCGTCATTTCGTCAGCGCGATACGCAGCGAAGGCTGGGAAGAGGGCGAGACGGTTGGACTGCCCTCCGTGGCCGATGACTCAACTCGGTATGACCACGCCCCTTTCGTTCTGGAACTTTCGCGGGCTATCTCGGCCACCGATGTGGGGTGAGGAGGTTCGTCGGCGAAGCCACGCTTCCAAGGGGAGAGCGCGCGCCCGGGGAGCCTTGGATGTTTGTTTTATTTTTTTTCTTTTGACCTCCTGGCGTCTCTTCCGCGCGTTACCGCAAGAATTTGGCGGCGCGCCCATTTTTAGCGCTCGTTCTGTGACACTGCCCCCCACTTTAAGAATATTATCTCATAATATTCAGAACCACACAAACGAGCGCGAACAGTCCCCACACACTCAAAGACTGTAACATAGTCCGTCGCTCATGACACGTCGCATTCGCAATAGTTCACTCAATACAATTGTACATTGTAATTCAATTACACAACACATGAAATATAACCACAGGCGCATGAGTACAACACTCCACCACACATTCCCAATAATACAAATGTACAAAGTTCTCTCTTTACAACAATTATACAACACTATACACCACATCATCGCACAGAACACTTTGACTCGCTCGACATACACTTGAGACACAGGATAACAAGAACATTAACACAACACATGTCACTCAGCCCTGCCAGACACATTCCGATTCCACCTCTGCACCTATCCTGTGTATTTCGAGCTGCGCTTGCGTCCTTTCTTGCGGTGCTCGCTCGATCTCCTCTTGTTTTTCCTTGTTCTTTTTCGGCGAGCCTTTTCCAACGGCGGTATCTGAGGCAGCGTCTCAGCCATCGTTGTCACTTCCGACCCTGCTAACAGGTCATGACGTTCGACGGGTCCTGTCTGTTTATTTACCAGCTTGTTCATGTCTCTACATTTGGCCCGGCTGGCCCACCCCGTCTCCTTTGCCCTGTCGGTCGGTTGAGGTCGTGCCGACGTAAGTCCAGTAGCCCGGCCCGTGAACTCGTTCAACACGATCATCTTATCATTCATAGTCCCTTGCACCGCGGCTTCACCTTGGGCTCGAGTGGGATCCGTCACGGGTTGCTCCTCCACTGTATCTCGCGGTCGTTGGGTTGGCGAGGGCTCTATCTTAAGGTCTTCTCCCAAACATTCCGGATCATTCGGTCCTCGCGCCCCGTCGATGTTTCCGATGACAAGGTCGTAAAGGGGGGTAGTCATACATAGAGCCGTAACCTTCCCGCTGAAGTATGGGGTTTCAACCTCAATCTCTGCTTCGGGAAGCATCCGAACTGTACGGTCAATTAAGCAAACCAGTTTTGTTTTGCCGGTTAACTCACTTTCCCGTACCAAGTTTCTCCGCACGATAACAGTGGAGCTGCCGGTATCTCTTAACACCGTAATCTTTTTGCCCGCAACTTTTCCAGGCAGCGTTGGCATTCCCTTCGTAACACCGGTTGGCTGTTTTGACATTACAGCACCCACAATAGGAATTTTCTCCCCATTCTTCAACTCTACGAATCCATCGGTGACGGCATTATTATCAGATTTCGGTGCTGCTTGCACACAGGATACCTGGTGAGTTTGACTCGCTCCGTTCCGACAAGCGTCTGCTTTGTGCCCAATCTGACCACACTTGAAACATTTTACTGCCGTAGGGCTCGTAAAGATTGTTCGACAGTTTTTCGCGCGATGACCCACTCGGTTGCACAGAAAACACCGCCGAATGCTCTCTGGTGCACGCTTCTTTTCATCGGGAGCCGATTTCTTCGAATCTTCGGGACAATCCTTCTTGACCTTGGCCAAATTAGTGCCACCTTGCGCTTCCAAGAATTGATCGGCTAATTCAAGCATGTCTTCAAGTGACTTAGCTTTCCTCTCTTTCAAGTACAGCGACAGGCTTGGGTGGCAACTAGTAAAAAATTGTTCTCTAATTAGGAGCTCTCTAAGTTCATCGTACTCCTGCGCTGTTTCTGAAAGTTCAATCCATCTGTCGAAATAATAGCAAAGTCGGGCGGCATACTGCGTAGCCGTCTCACCATCAGCTGGCTTTCCTGTCCGAAATCTGTCCCGGAATCCTTCCACGGTAAATCTAAATCGCTTCAGCAAAGCAGCTTTCACCTTTGCATAGTTGGCTGCATCGGTCGGCGTCAGCCTACCGTACACACTGAGCGCTTCACTACTCAAGCAAGTACTCAAAGCAGTTGCCCATTGATGTTCCGGCCAATTCTGGCTTCTCGCAATCGTCTGAAATCGGTGAAGATACGCGTCAAGGTCGTCCTTCCTTTCATCAAACGCCACGAACAACTTGCTTGGGTTCAAGCGGAAGCCATGATCTTCCCGTTCGCTGCTTTCAACTCTAGCTTGGACGGGAGTTTCGCTTCGCTGTTGCAAACGGAGCCGCTCGAGTTCCATTTCGTGCTGCCGCTGCCGTTCCCTTTCAGCCATCTCCGCTTCTTTTTCTTCTTTCGCCCTTTCGACTGCCAACTTTTCTCTCTCCAACTCAGCTTCTTTTTCCGCTTTGGCTCTTTCGACCGCCAGCCTTTCTTTTTCCAGCTCAGCTGCCTTTTCTTCTTTGGCCCTCTCTTTTTCTTCTTTTTCCTTCTGGGCGACCCACTTCCGTAGTTCGGCGCCAGAAAGACCCATCTTCTCACCAAGAGCGACTAACTTTTCGAGATCCATTGTGTCTCGCAAATGAAGTCTTGCCACGTGCAAAAAGTATCTGCCTAAATCAGTCTATCGAAACATTCTCCTGCATTCGTTAACGAGAACACTGAACAACACACAAAATTGTTCCGATAGCACTATCAACAACTCGAGGCTCTTTCTCACTACTTTGGACACACTGTGCACCAAAAGGTCCTGTCGCGGACGCCAGATTAATTGTCACACACAGGTCCCGTTAATTCGGGAGGCGATCGTCGGGATAATTCCAAGGGCCGAAGTATTGGCCCCCCGAAGCGCACCACGAAAGCGTGGACAATTTAGAAGTGGTCCTTTTTGGCGCGCCAGCGGACGCCGGTTGTGGTCCAAAGAACAAGTCAGAGCCGAGAGTTGATAAACAAAACAAATAGTATATTCTCAAAAATGGCAGATCGAAAACAATACACAAGAATGCACACTCCACAGTAGTTACATACAATACGTCACCAACCAAACAGCGCACTACACAGTACAATCAGCCACACTCAAAACAACGGACACAGACAACGATACGCACTACAATGCAGTCGCATGCATTGAACAACCAAGACACTTAAAGACTAAAGAGATAGAAAACCTATTCAGTCCAAAGTTCTTGGAACCAAAGTCTAAATGATACCCTTCCGAGAATCACTCACTCAAAGTCCAGCGTTGTTGTCGTTCCGCAGCCCTCGAAGTTTCTCTTCCAGTAAACCTCGCCGAAGTGTCTCTTCCAGGACCCCTCCCGTCTTCAATAGGCCACTCTCCAAGCTTCAAACTTCTTCGCCCGAACTCGTCGGCTTCACACACGCAGCTGTTGCCACGCGTCCTCGCTCGATAACGGTAGACACACGCTCTTGTCTGTTTCTCGAGCCTTCACCCCTCAGGTGGAAATCCTCTTCATCTCCTGCTTCGTCCCTACGGACAAAACCTTCGCCGATTACACGGCGGAATCTCTACGCACTCTGGCGCCAACTTCCGTCTTCTCCTGATCTCTCATCTCGGCTGCTCGGTTAAATACCTTGCGCGCGACATTCCAGACGGTTCTTGTCATTTCGTCAGCGCGATACGCAGCGAAGGCTGGGAAGAGGGCGAGACGGTTGGAATGCCCTCCGCGGCCGATGACTCAACTCGGTATGACCACGCCCCTTTCGTTCTGGAACTTTCGCGGGCTATCTCGGCCGCCGATGTGGGGTGAGGAGGTTCGTCGGCGAAGCCACGCTTCCAAGGGGAGAGCGCGCGCCCGGGGAGCCTTGGATGTTTGTTCTTTTTTTTTTCTTTTTTTTTTGACCTCCCGGCGTCTTTTCCGCGCGTTACCGCAAGAATTTGGCGGCGCGCCCATTTTTAGCGCTCGTTCTGTGACACCGTTCCAGTGCACCGACGAACGGACGACGCGGGCCGACGTCTATAGACGGAGCTGAGCATGACAGGATGGGCGCCGCATAAAGAAAAAGCATCTGTCCCGTCATGATCTTCTCTGCCTCGTTCTCGTAAAAAGTAGGGATAGCACTTTTTGAGCATAGTCAGAAAACGTTACGATTGGTGGTTGCAGCTCTTGCGGCTTGATCGGAGTCTGAGTCCGAGTTTGTCGACTTTTAAATGAGTTCGCTGACCGATGACTCTCCATGCATGATGGAGAGATCCCATTGATTTCCGCTACTTCCGGAAAGGCAGCAGAATTGACGTTTTCCCGCGAAAATGCGGCGATGCTGAGGGCATCCGAGTATTCGGGTCCATATTCGAATCGAATGATACGTGATCGCATAATTGTGAAACGCCAGAGCCTATAGTCATCATCATCGAGGCAGCTCCTTTTAGGAACTGTGATGCTGAGACACCAGTTGGCTATCAAGTGCGACCCTGTTATTACCGCTTTTCACCCCGCGATAATTTCGGCGCTTGGCGTTACGAGTGAAAACTTGGTGCTTCCAAACTCGAGTCCCACGGAGCCGTTGCTACACTTTTTGCATGAATAACAATCTCAATGCTGCTATATAGAAAATAGGGACATTGGCATTTGGGTACAATATTTGTAGCCATGTGTGGCTCGAGGGACCATGCAGGCTTTTGCACGATGGGATGGCGCTGGTACGGCAGTCCTTTTTCGTAATAATGTTCTAACGGTCTCGCAAAGTGAAGGCTTGCTCGTTTCCGGGCGCACAGCTTTCTTCAAAGAGATATAAATCAGGTTGAATACAGAAAACTTACCCGCCTTAAATGTTTTTGCCATGCGTTTTCTGAGCTTCTTGGAATGAATTTTGCGCCCTCTGGTAATGAAGGCCATGCCGAGTTCAGTGCCCTCGCTACAACTACAAAACGTGTTGCGAATTCATCTAAACAATGAGTTGCCCAACCAGCGCTCATCCTGTGTGTTTGTTGCTCCTGGTCTGCGTGTTTTTGTGCCAGCTCGCCCAACTTTCTATCCTGTTGCATTCACGTTAGCATACACGAAGTGTTTGTCAGAGATCGACCGGTATAAAAGAGACCCCGGGGGGGGATTATTACCAGAGTATATTATATAACTTGTTCTCAAGTCACATTATTAATTCATCTTCTTAATTTATTATGCCACTGTTATACATGTAGCTATCATGTCTCAAATCCTTCGCTGAATGTGTTAAAACGGCACGTCAGGTACATGCCGCATAGTCATATAGAGATCTCATGACGAATGTCTATACGACTGCAGCATAGCGAAGCAGGGGTGTGTGTATGACTGAACTGGCCGTCTTCTACAATTGTCACGAAACAAAATGAATTAAGAGGTGTAATTTACCCTGCGCTGTGCAGGAGCCAACGGGCTGGCAAACCCTCGCGATTTCAAGACCCCAACAGCTTGGTATGAGGACCGGGACGTGAACGGCTTTGTGGTCGTCAGCAAGTACCAAGGTTGCCTGTTCCAGGCTTCTCAGGTCAGTGTTTACAGCATGACTACTAAAGTTCACGTAATGACAGCGGGTTACGATTCGACGTGCCTTCAGCTACACGAGAAACTTGGCGAACCGTCATGTCGGTTGAATGTGCAGCGTGGCATAGACGAGGGACGAAGGGTAGAGTACGGTAAGGCCTTGTATTTGTGGCACATCCTCACGTTGTTTGCTCAACCAAATATAATAAAGTACCAACTTGGCTACTTGCGTGATAAACGGTGAGTATTGGATAGTTGGTAGAAGACAAAAAAATTATTGACTAGTGAGGCTGAGATAACAGGTCAGCAACGACGCTGTTCTCGTCGTTTTCTCTCCATGGCTTTAGCTTTGATACGAGTTCAGGATGTGTCGCTGCCTCAAGCACTGTAACAAGTGATTGAAAAACAGATTCGGCCAGCGGACGTAGAAAGTCGAGAGATAGATGATTGAGAGCAATGGGACAGAATGCCAGTAAAACTCATAGGTTTTTATGTTAGCGAGTCTCAGGGGCCGTTGAAGGTAAACAGGTACAGCATGATCAGTTTTTCTGAAATGACAAAGATGTTTTGCAATAAGGCACCTTTTTAGTTATCTTTTTTTTTCAATTGGGATGCAGAACCACTCTCCATTCGACGTGGTCGCGTGGCATGGCAACTATGTCCCCTACAAGTATGACCTGTCCAAGTTCAACACCGTCAACACCGTCTCCTACGACCACTGCGTGAGTCAAAATGGTGAAATTTAAACTCAAAAGTTCTTTACCTCTGACCTTTGGCTATTGCGTTCGTCATTATACTTCCGCGTCAGAAACATCTGCGTACAACATTTTGCTCGCCAGCAGTGATGGTGATGAAGTGCGAAACATGATTGAATGCTTAAACTGAGAAATTGCGAATGTGGGGATAAAAATGAACACAGTATGCGGAAGACAAACATGATTCTCAGTATTTCGGCTATACAACAAGAGCGCGAACTCACCAAACACTCTTTAGAATACAGGAAAGAGTACGTACAGAAGATTTTGTATGTGCGATAGAAGTTAAATTACCGACAAGACAGCTTGCTCTCGTTTTATTTCTTCACGCCATCACCACGGTTCTGGTAGTACGCGGTCAGCGTGCGCGTTATCAGTGTGACATAACATTCCCGACAAGGAAGTGGCCAGCGCCGGCAGATGCAATTATTGTTGTGTAGCAGAACTGCTCCCCGAATACTCCATTTTTTCTTAAGAGTGTAGAGGGCAGGGAGGAAATCCTCTGGTCAGTTGGAGCAACCAACCAAGGGATGGGAAACGCAGTTTTAAAAGCGTTTGTCCTTTACGTATGCATTTGGCTGCGTATTGGTCAGTGAGTGCCATACCCTGGTCAACAACAACGCAGGACCCCTCGATCTTCACGGTGCTCACTTGCCCATCGACCAAGCCGGGCACGGCCATCGCCGACTTCGTCATCTTCCCGCCACGTTGGTCGGTAGCCGAGAACACCTTCAGACCCCCTTACTATCACCGTGAGTTTGCAGCCTTTTGTCTTTTGTATATACGAGGCCTTCTTTCGGCCACGCTCGTCTATGGCGAAACGGACGTTTTAAATAACTCATCTTCTGTTCCAGATGACGTAGTAGGTGACCGCAATAAAGATGAATTTCGAAACCATCTCAACACGCAGTTCCAGACTTAGCTGCTTACTTTACTGAAGTTTGGTTCGGTACTCATGTCATTAACAATAAGTTGTTTTGTGTTGCACTTTTCCTAACTTTTATTGCGTTTGAATACTAACCTGCACTTCATAGCTTATGCGCAATCTTGTTTTCATGAAATATATAAACACTGGCCTTTAATAAAGCTTTTGTTCATTATTGGCAGCCTGTCGCATAGTCCATATTCAGCATGTTTTCGCTATTTAGTTCCCGTTGTATTGTCTTTATCGTTTCAACTATTATACATGGTACAATAATCAATCATTTTTATTGTTTATAATAAATCAATGTATGCCCATGTGCATGATATTTTTATGCTCCCTTTACGCAATGCCCTATTTGGCCTGTAACGTATTTTGAAGAAGTTAATGAATAAATACGGAAAACGCAGTAGTGGCTTAATTAACTCCTCCATTTGCCACGAGTACAACGGAATTATTCGTGTAAGTTACTCGAGCGTGAAGAAATTGTCTGAACTCAAACTGTCATGGATTGGTACTCCGAAGTACCGACATAACAATTTTTCTGAGCGTCCCCGTTGACGTATAGGAGTCCAAACCCAGACTAGGTCACCGGGTTCGTATATTACTGCTCTGTGGTGGTGTTGTATCGGCGAGCATCTTGATTTTGCCGCGATAAAATGCGAAAGCGCGCCAGCTGCCGGGCGTCTTCGGCACGCTGAACAAATACATCTGCGTCAGGGGTGATCGTGTCCGGCAGAGTTGGTTGCAGCATGGTGTCAAGCATTGTGGTGACGTCGCGGCCGTAAACCAGACGAAAAGGAGCAAAGCCGGTGGTTTCCTGCAAAGCCGTATTGTAGGCAAATGTTATATACGGGAGGATTTCATCCCAATCCTTCTGATCCTTGGCGACATACATCGAAAGTATATCTGCAATCGTTTTGTTAAGGCGTTCGGTTAACCGTTAGTCTGCGGGTGGTACGCAGTTGCTGTTCGGTGCGTCGTGCCGCTCAGCAACAGGATCTGTCGGAGCAACTGTGCCGTAAAAGCAGTACCACGATCTGTGATAACGACAGCGGGAGCACCGTGGCGGAGAACGATGTTCTTGATGAAAAAGTCAGCCACCTCGGAAGCAGTTGCTCGCTGGGCGGCTTGTGTTTCGCAGTATCTGGTCAAGTAGTCGGTGGCAACCACAATCCAGCGGTTACCAGCCGTAGACTTCGGAAATGGGCCGAGTAAATCCATCCCGACCTTTTCCAAAGGTTCGTGAGGGGGTCGCAAAGGCTGAAGCAGACCGGCTGGTTTCGTCGTTGGAGTTTTTCTGCGCTGACAGGCTGTGCATGTCTTGACGTACTGCCGGATGGTTTTCGTAAGTTTCCGCCAGTAGTATTTGTCTTTGATCCGCGCCAGAGTACGCGCGAAGCCAAGATGCCCTGACGATGGCTCGTCGTGACAAGCACGCAAAATATCATCGTGGAGAGCAGCAGGAACGACGAGGAGGTAAACAGTTTTCGTTGAATGAAAGTTGTGCTTGTAGAGGATGCCTTGGCGTAAACAAAAAGATGACAAATCACGCACGAACTGACGTGGGGGTTGTGGGCGACGTCCCTCAATGTATTCGATCAGTGGTTGTAATTCTAAGTCTTCGCGTTGCTGCTCAGCCTTGTTTAATGATGCGAGAATGGCAAGGCAGCTGAAGTCTTCATGATTGTCTTCTTCAGTGACCTCGACGGGTGCGCGGGAAAGACAGTCAGCGTCGGTGTGTTTCTGACCAGACTTGTAAACCATCGTTATATCGAATTCTTGTAACCGAAGGCTCCATCTCGCGAGACGGCCCGAAGGATCTTTCAGATTCGCTAACCAGCAGAGAGAGTGGTGGTCACTGATGAATCGGAAGGGGCGTCCGTACAAGTAGGGCCTGAATTTAGTTATGACCCATACAACCGCCAGACATTCTTTTTCAGTCGTCGAGTAGTTCTCCGCAGATGACAACGTGCGGCTAGCGTAGGCGATGACGCGTTCCACGCCATCTTGATATTGCACGAGAATAGCTCCGAGGTCAAGGTTGCTCACGTCAGTGCGGACTTCTGTGTCTGCTTCGGTGTCGAAGTGACCTAGGATCGGTGGCGTTTGTAGGTGTTGTTGAAGATCGCGGAAAGCGCCGGATTGTTTGGGGCCCCAGACGAAGGCGACGTCATCCTTGACGAGTTGTTGTAGAGGGTCGGTGATTTTCGAAAAGCTCGGCACGAAGCGGCGGTAATAAGCACAAAGTCCCAGAAAGCGGCGTACATCATGCTTTGTTTTCGGTATCGGGAACAAGGCAACTGCCATAGCCTTGTCAGGATCGGGGCGAACACCACTGCTGCTGATAATGTGGCCAAGGAATTTCAGTTCCTCATACCCAAAATAACACTTTTCCGGTTTCAGAGAGAGACCAGCAGTGCGAATAGCCAGAAGAACCGCCTAAAGCCGCTCAATGTGCTGTTGAAGAGTCGTAGAAAGTCGTGCCATTCACTTCTTCGCTCTCGTCTTCTGCCACCAACACAGCGTGGGAATATATATATATTATATATATATATATATATATATATATATATATACTTTTCTCACGCCATCACCATGGTTCTGGTAGTTCGCGGTCGGTGTGTGCATCATCAGTGTGACATAGCATTCCCGACAAGCAATAGGCCAGCGCCGGCAGGCAGATGACAATTATTGTTGTGTAGCAGAACTGCTCCCCGAATACTCCATTTTTTCTTAAATTGTAGAGAGCGGGGAAGAAAACCGCTGGTCAGTTGGAGCAACCAACCAGAGATGGGAAACGCAATTTTAAAAGCGTTTGTCATTTACGTATTCATTTGGCTGCGTATTGGTCAGCGAGTGCCATGCCCTGGTCAACAACAACGCAGGACCCCTCGATCTTCACGGTGCTCACTTGCCCATCGACCAAGCCGGGTACGGCCATCGCCGACTTCGTCATCTTCCCGCCGCGTTGGTCGGTAGCCGAGAACACCTTCAGACCCCCATACTATCACCGTGAGTATTCAGCCATTTGCTGTTCATTATATATATATATATATATTATATATATATATATGTAATATATATATATATATATACATGTGTGTGTGTGTGTGTGTGTGTGTGCGAGAGAGAGAGACCTTTGTTATGATCAATCATCTTCAGTTTAGTGCGTGTAAAATACACAGTTTGTTATTAATATACAGGTAGGACCCCAGTGCCCATTGAAGGGCAGATACAGGGGTCCGTTAAGATTACAGAATCATCTTTCGTCCACACTCGTCTACGGCAAAACCGACGCCTTAAATAACTCATCTTCCGTTCCAGATGACGTAGTAGGTGAGCGCAATAAAGATAAATTCCGAAACCATCTCAACACGCAGTTCTGTACTTAGCTGCTTACTTAACGGAAATTTAGTTTGTTACTCACGTTTTTAACAATAAGTTGTTCTGTGTTGCACACTTTCTTACTTTTGTTGCATTTGAATACTAACCTGCACTTCATAGCTTATGCGCGATCTTGTTTTCATGAAATATATAAACCACTGGCCTTTAATAAGCTTTGTTCATTATTGGCAGCCTGTCGCATAGTCCATATTCAGCATGTTTTCGCTATTTAGTTCCCGTTGTATTGTCTTTATCGTTTCAACTATTATACATGGTACAATAATCAATCATTTTTATTGTTTATAATAAATCAATGTATGCCCATGTGCATGATATTTTTATGCTCCCTTTACGCAATGCCCTATTTGGCCTGTAACGTATTTTGAAGAAGTTAATGAATAAATACGGGAAACGCAGTAGTGGCTTAATTAACTCCTCCATTTGCCAACGAGTACAACGGAATTATTCTGTGTAAGTACTCGAGAGTGAAGAAATTGTCTGAACTCAAACTGTCATGGATTGTACTAACTCGTTTTCAATAGATCACTCTTCAATCGCGTGTTAAAATTACGGAGATGACGAAGAAAAAGATAGGAACGATTTGCGTTAATCCTTGCTCGCATGCCTCGTCAGCGAAGCTTTCAAACACCTTGCGAAATCATTGTATCGCAGCATAGATGACAAGTACTCTCCTGATATCAACGTTGGAGATCCCTTTACTACCGAACATCGGTCATTGCAGTACATTCTACCATAAACATCTTCTTGGATAATGGTAGGTCAGTGAATGTGAATCTTGCTGAGATTAAACTCCTTGAATAGGCGTGACAGATGCGCTTGATGTCAAGAATATAATCCAACAGCATCTGTTATAGCATTTGACAGTTTCGCTGGCCAATCATGTCAGTGGGGATGAGTGTCGATTCCGAACGCGTGACCCTCATTAGATTTAGGCCCCGCCGCGGTGGTCTAGTGGCTAAGGTACTCGTCTGCTGACCCGCAGGTCGCGGGTTCGAATCCCGGCGTCGATGGCTGCATTTCCGATGGAGGCGGAAATGTTGTAGGCCCGTGTGCTCAGATTTGGGTGCACGTTAAAGAACCCCAGGTGATCAAAATTTCCGGAGCCCTCCACTACGGCGTCTCTCATAATCATATGGGGGTTTTGGAACGTTAAACCCCAAATATCAATCAACCAATTATTAGATTCACTCCGGGGTGGTTTTCATACTGCTGCGTGTGAAAGGTGGGCACACCTGCTTGTACTAGCTAATCAAGGAGATAGTTTAACTGTTCAGAGCCCAAACAGACTGAGTGCAGCATACCGCAAGCTTGGAAAAGAAAGTTCGGACGACCAACCATTCTCAAAAGAGCACGAAATTTACACCCAATCGTTCATTGACGCTTGTTCAATCACGTGTAAATTTTGTGACTTTTTTTTACCAATATTGACAACTTCAAGATGGAAACTAATATGTAAAGAAAGAGCTGGAGCTACGCCTGTAGGTACAAACCTGTCTTTGAAGACAATTAACGACGACAAAAAAAAATGTCACTCAGGTAGCGTTTTCGGTGTGTGTTGCTTATGTAGAGAACAGAGTCGTCGATTGCAGTTGTTTTTAAAGAGGGTGAAATAGACGCAGTTTCCGGCATGTTTTATGGAAGCATGGGTCAACTCTTTTGTCAATGCTGTGAGTACTAGGACGTTCAGTTGCGTACCTCTTCTCCCGATCTCGTCTGCACCTTCTCAGTTCAGCTTCACCTACTTGGGCATAGAGTGCGCTGGAAGCTGTTTAGTGACGTGAGGCGAATGAGTTTGGAAGAGAGGCTGAGGAATATGAAGGATGGTAGGTGGGTGGAGGAATTGTTCCGGTATTTGTGCAGAAAGAGCGTTGACTCACAAATAGTGATATGACAACAAAGAGCGCTAAGCAAAAGTCAGGAAGGCGGAGGGGATTTTTTCGATCGCAGCAATGAATAAAAAAAAAAAACTCTGCTCTGAGTAACTACCAAAAAAGCAAAGATGAAGTAAAGAGGAAAGCATTTCGTAATAATTGAAGCGGAAATGCTGTATACTGTTTAAAGGGAGCTCAGGTTGCATTAGAATGCGTCGTCATAAAACGAGGCTCAGTAAAGAATACAAACGTGCATGCTAAATGTGGCGAACCTGAGGAAACGGCGGAGCCCCTTTGGACTGAATGTGGAGATATGCACCTGGGTGTGTGTTCTAGCTGTGGCTTACATGAAGTCCTGGAATTTGGGGACAACAAAAAGAGGTAAAACAAACCCGCAATAGAAATATAGATGTAAAAGGCGGTTAAGGGGTTAGTAGCACAAAAGTAGATTTAATGAGCAAAAATAAATATCGAGACAGATGATGTAATTCTGGCATGAGGAGGTGGGGGGTAGGAAATTATGGGTATTTTTTTTTTTTGAAGCAAGATAGTTTTAACTGATATATTTGAGTAATTAGGCCGAATTAGAAGGGAAAAAAGTTGTTTTTCACCTTTCGAGCTCGGTGGCACTAAGGTGATCGCACGTTGTAGAGGGAATGCTCGTTGCGTCCACCCATGCATCAATGACAACTATGAACAGACGATAATTTCTGTCTGGAGTATTATTAACAACTTTGTGAGAAACAAGAAAAAAAAGAAAGAGAGAGAAAGAAAGAAGAAAGTAAGGAAAAAAGTAACAAATTATTGGCGAGACAAAGCAAATATCAAGCCAAAACTGGTGCACAAAGTATGCACAATGTCCTGCATCATCATCATCATAATCATAATCATCATCATCATCACCATAATAATAACCACCACAACAATCATCATCATTCTGACTGCACGAACCTCGATCTCATTTATGTTCCGCCAGTCAACGCAGTCCTGTGTTTACTGCCGCCACGTTTTATACTTCTCATGGGAATACGAATACGTTAATTAGGATGTTCGTCAGCTTGTGGATATTTAAACTAAAGTTCCAAGGACTCGATTTTTCGTCTGCCACAAAACCAAAAGAAAGAAAAATAAAAGACACACACGAAATTTGGCGTTGGTATACCCTTAAAAGCGCGCAATTACCTCCATTGTTTTAGGTGACCTCTCATTCCGAAATGTGAACTAAAAAATTGGAAATAAAAATGAAACAATCGCACTATCTTGTTAAGACGTTAATGACCCTATAGGTATGAGTGGTGTGATAGATATGGCTAAAATGGTTCCTAATGTATCAGAGGCGCAGTTCCTGATGTCCTGAAAAACAGTGCCTCTAATTTTTTATTGCACGGACCAATTGGACTTAATAGGGTACCATAAGCTGGCATAGTTCTGGTATTCTTTTTACTACAGTACATTTTTTCACCGTTTCTTTCCTTAGTGAAGTTTTAGTTATTTTTTTGTACTATTGATGTTCTACTTTTCTTCTATTATTTTTTCATGTCAAGATACTTCAATATTCTTTTATGTTTGACGCTAATCACTACAAGTATATTGTCGCGCCATTCGGAATGAAACATTGCAAGTGTTTTTTCATCTAATATTTCCTCGTCGATATTTTTCTTCACGAGATGCATTCAAGACACAATTGCTCAGTTTGCGTTTATGTTCTCTTTTTTTCAGGGAACTGCATGAGTGAGTTCATGGGTCTTATCACCGGGAAGTATGAAGCCAAGGTACGCGTATTCACTTTTTTTTGGAGCGAATACTGTTACGAGGTCACTACGAGAGCCGATTTTGTTTGGCGCCGTGGTTGTCCGCTGCCACCTGTGTCCGTAACCACTATTGCATGAAATAAAAAAAACTATATAATAAAATACTGAGGACTGAATGGAGATAGAACCCGGGCCCAGTACTCTGTATGACTGAGCTACGCCGATTTTTTTTTCTTTATCGGACTGAGCTACGCCAACACTTTAAACTCCGTTGCAAACTGACCATATTCAGACTTCGTGTAAGGTAAGGAATATCTGATAGCATGTGTAATATAGCGCTTTCAAACAGCGACGTAACAGCCATGCGTGAGACAATGCGAATCGCGTAAGGAGTGGGTCGTTGAATCGTCCAACTCATTGCAAAAGCATTGTACACAGTTCTTCATCAGAAACAGACACATTATCAGCAAATTACACATAATTACTTTTAAGTGTGCAGCGTGTACAACACTTTTTGTAGAATGGCACATAATTGCATGGTAGGTGCTTCCCTGCTACATAAAAAAATCATGATGATTTTCGGTGGGCCCTTCTGTGTGCGTCCGCAGGAGACGGGCTTCCAGTGCGGCGGCGCTAGCCTGCACAGCATGATGACCCCTCACGGGCCAGACGTGGACTGCTTCGAGCAGGCATCCAAGGCCAAGCTGGCCCCGCAGCGCATCGGGGATGGATGCATGGTGAGTATAGATTTATTACATGTTCGTAAACAGCGGCAGGCACCGTCGATATATGTAGGTTTGTTGTAGCGACGTCGCGGTGCGTATACGCTCCGTCCAGCCGTTCCAGCCAAAAGCGCGCTACCACCCTCTATGGTCACGGGAACACTGGCGCAGCAGGTGCGAAAGCTGCTTCCGAGCACGGCACGTCGGGACGTCTTCCGCATGTGTATACAAGCGGCGGCCATAACAGAGGAAGTTGCAGTGGCTGTAATAGGGACTCCGAAATGAACATATAAGCCTCATTGACGTGCGGTTCTAGCCTTGAGAACCTCATCTAAAGCATGCAGGTGACTCAATGGTGGAAATGTGGCTCATTTGCGGAATGTCATCGCCGTTTTGGCAGTCTACGTCACGTTTGTACGTTTTAATTTGTTAGCTAATGCAAGAACGACAGACCGAGTTCAGCGAAAAGCTTTAGGTTACGATATGCAAATGCGTGGTGTAAGAATACATAGCGACGATTCGTTACGGTAAATCCTCGCGTATTACAAAGGCGCCGAATCAGTTCACTCAAATGACCAAGCTTATCTCGGCGTCGCTCATCCTCAATACGCTTGCGATCATGCTTTACCTACATGCTGGGGACAATGTGGTTATGTACCTGTCAGGTCCGCTGCTCAATTCGTACGCTCAAGTCGGGGCCGCGAAATGCGTACAAACAGTATACAGACGCGGCAAGTTCCCGATTACTCTTTTTCTGTGAATTCTCATGGACGTGAAAACCTCGTGAAGCGCAGCCAGAACAGCTCTGCCCGATACATTATATGTCAGGTATCTGGAGTGTCATCGCAGCCGCATATGAAGCATGTAAACAGCAAAATCATAGTCAAAGCAATAGTTTCGTTCACTGCTGATCTAATTAAGCGCGTCCATGCAGAAAGAAACACATGCTTCGTGACGGGGTGACAGTTCACACCAGTATAACGAAATCGTTTTGACGCGTTGCGCTAAGACTTTTGCAGTTATATCAAGAATGGCAATAGCGAAAAGTTATTCGTGTTTCTTTGCATATGACAATGCGGTCCACAGCGTTAACGTGCTTTGTGATAAACAAGCTCGTTATGCCTCCACACAAGGCTTATTCAAACAAAAGAAAATTAAAACGACAAACGCTTGATAGAGCGAATCGTTATTGTTGGGCCAGCCATTCTAAAACATAATTGATGAACCGTCATCAAAGCTGAGTTCTCGCGTGGCTATTCTTCTTGCGACGGTTTTTGTAAACAGAAAACTGCAAAGAAAAAAAAAGACCTAGCCCAATTTTTTCGTGCCTTCCCGCTCAAATAATCGTGTCTACTCGTCGGTACAACGTTTTTCTACTTTGAAGGGCAACAAACAGTGCATGGATCAGGTAAAACATGGCAGCAACTGAGTAGAGGCACGACGGCTTTTTCCTACCACGCGAAACAAAACGCCCGATGACAGCGCCACCGCATTTTTGTGACATTTCTATTGCTGTAATCGTTCAGTTACCATGGAAACTATGGGTATGCTGCGTGGATTCGCATAATTTTGAGTTGGGTTAAAGAGGGGTTCAAAATGTGGCACCGGACGTGGATAGAAAAAAAAATTGAAGGGTACTTTGCAAATTGCAAAGTGTATTCGCGAAAGCCTATGGATATTCAACTGATTATACCATGTGCTTTTTTTCTCTTCTTTTGTTAGTTTTTTCTTCGTTTTTTAGCCTCAGCAATCACGTGATTTATAAATGTAAGGGATAGAGGCCACAGCTGTGGCGGCACAGCTGTCGCTATGCGCCGCTGTGCTATCACGAGATTGCTGAGATAGTGTGGGAGAGAGAGGCCACGGCTGGAACCAGGGCATGGACAGACGGACGCGACATGAGACGTTTGTTTTCGCCTCAAAAGGGTGTTGTGATTGAGGGGAAGAGGCTGGATGCATGTATACACCGTACCTCACATATTGAGGAACGCGGGACTCCACGGTAACCGCGAGTGTGCTGCAAAGGACGCTTATCAGCGTTTCTGCCACACACCGTCCGCATCCCAAAAGAATGATTGGTGAGATGCGCCTGCTTCGCAGCCTGCGCAACACAACTCTATCCACTTTGACCAAAAGGTTTGGATGTTTCCTCATTGCGTCTCACTGTACGTGCTATAATGCCAGCTGTAGTCTTTCCCCCTAGCACTCTCTCAGGAACCAAGTGATGCCAGAGTGGCGCATAGCAACAGTTGCCGCCACCACAGCTGTGGCCTCTCTCCCTTACACGATCTCGTCAATCAGGTGATCGGTTAGCGAGCTTGATAAAAGTAGAAAAAAAAGAGATATGACTCAGTCAGTTAAGTGCCCACATGTTTACGCGGAACACACTTAGGAATTTACCAAGTGTCCTTCACCTTCTTCATTTTTTTCCCTCACCACACCTCACCCCAAAACAGGCGTGGAACTGGTTGTTCGGCCCACTCGAAATGACTTTATCACATTCTAGTACAATGTAGATGCTCTTGAGACTTCAGGCACGTTCTTTAAGGCGTTAACTCTTACGCTTTTTTTGTGTAAACTTCTGAATATTATCAGTGTTACAGCGAAAGGTGTATATGGTTCGATTGATTGATATGTGGGGCTTAACGTCCCAAAACCACCATATGGTTATGAGAGACGCCGTAGTGAAGGGCTCCGGAAATTTCGACCACCTTGGGTTCTTTAGAGTGCACCCAAATCTGAGCACATAGGCCTACATTTCTACCTCCATCGGAAATGCAGCCGCCGAAGCCGGGATTAGGTCCCGCGACCTGCGGGTCAGCAGCCGAGTACCTTAGCCACTAAACCACCGCAGCGGGGCTAGGTGTATATGGCTAGAAAACACGAAAAACTATTCGGAATCAGTGTCACGAGTGCTCTCAATTGGCTGCGCCATCAGTTACGTCATTCTCACCGTCGTACACTAGCCTGCGTGTCATTGGCTGCGTTGTGAGGGACGTTGTTTATCCCGTTTCACCCGAGGCGCCAAGTACGCGCTCATCAGCTTCTACTGAAATCTTCCACATGGATAAGCCACAAAGAACTCTACATCAGTGACGACAGTGGAAACGTGAAAAGGCTCGCATTCACCGGGTCGATGCTGCAGTCTGCGCACAGAAACAAGACCGGGAGGCCGAGTGCCGGCAGCAACTGCGTACCGATGATCCGGCAGCCTTTCAAGCCGCGCTAAGTCACGAACAGGAATGCAAGCGCCGGTGGTGGGCGGATCATGCAAGCCACGCCGCCAAGTTAACTCGCGATGTCAAACGCTTACAATCACGCCGCGCCTAACAAGTGCCGTTGCAGGCACGACAGCGCCAACGTGACGATTGCGGAAGCGTGTTTGCCGGGGTGAACACCCGCTTTCGGCGGGAGTTTCTCCAGCGGTTCCTTGGCTTCGACTGCGAAGTCTGTGGCCGCCTGTAGTTCGAGAACAACCATTGTGATTAACGGATCGCGAAACGCATTCAACCGCTCATGACACTCTTACATGATCGTGATCATGCAAGGCACAATGTGCGGCACTTGAAATAAACACTGTGGTAAACTCAAGCCAAACGTGTGCATAACCTCATTAAGAAGCACGAACATGTGACAAATAATTGTGACAGGCTTCAGTGCATTGTGGGGTTAAACCCACTGACAAACACCACAGCCGCACGTTTCAGCTTTCGCTGGTTAACAACATGTACGGAGTGCTTGGTTGGTGATTTTTTTTTATTTCTCTGAACATGTCAAGGTTATGCATCCATGCTTACGCGGGTAACAAGTGCGTGTTGAGTCAATTATAGCCCGGCATCGACGAAAATGTTGAACTCGTGGAGCCAAAAGACAAATACCAGACACGACGATGTAGTTTATTTAGTCAAACTTGTATACTTTTATTTTTCGTGCGAACTTCCGTACTTTTATCTCTCGAAGACAATGTAGCATGATACAGCTTAGAAAGACAGGAGAAGCGTCGCCTAGATCGATGAAGTGTGACCGCTGATTGTCTCAGTAACTGACTTCATAACTTTGGCACACGGGACCTTTTGAAAGGCCGTCTAGTGCATGGCCACCGAAATGTCACAACTCTGTAGCTCGCTAGTGCAAACCAGAAGAATCCGGCCATAAAACGACGATGACAACGCACCAGGCGCGACATGGTTGCGTCTGTTCTTGTTCGCGTCAGACTAAATGGCTTCACACAGAATATATAGTTTGTTGTTCACCCCGTCGACGTTTGCCTGCTTCTTTGCACAACTCTATCGGCTAGATGGTGTTGTCACGATGCGCGGCAGTTTTGGATGGACGTTGAGTGCTTCAGGCATTTTCCGCAAAAAACTGTGCGGCTCAGCGGATCCTTCTCTTCGTATTAATGCCACCTAAAGTTAAAAGAGCAAGTTCATTCAAAATTAAAATATGTCTGTTGATGTTGTTTAAATATTTCGATGAAGTGTTTATTGGTAGTTATGAATTTTCAAGTTGAGAAGCGAAACTGTGGCGAGCGATACACTGTGAGAGAGCACACTGACGGCAAGCACGTGGCTGTTGCCAAGAGTATGTGCAAGTCACACATTCAAAGTAGTAAGAATACTCTAATAAGTAATTACCAACACTCAGATATGCCGATTTATAGCATACCGGTTAGATTATTTCTTTAAAATCGTGTGTACAAGCACACTGCGAAGGAAAGGGCACGTTTAGCGTTTGCGCTGTTTCCGCTTCGCCGCCGAAGTTTCAACGCAGTGTCAGGGAGCTCCGTTGCCTCGCTGGACTATTGACTCAATGACCTTCGAAACCGCCCATGTGGCATCTGTGCTTGACAGTTGAGTCAATAGACCATTGGTTCGATGACCGTCCAAACACCGTGTGACAGGGGTGTAACAGCGGTGAAACAGCGCAGACGATAGGACGAAGAATATATGCATGCAGGACAGAGCGCTGACTATACTGATTTGTCTATCTGAAAGGCAGGGCATATATAAGAAGGCGAGCGTATAGAACTATGGCAAAACACTATCGAGCGACTCGGCAATCTTGCTTTTCTCTCAATTTCGATAAGGGTTTTTAAGACGAGGCAAACGAATATTTTATGAACACGATTCATTGATATATGGTTTTAACGTCCCAAAATTACCATATGAATATGAGAGACGCTGTAGTGGAGGGCTCCAGAAATTTCGACCTCTTGGAGTTCTTTAACTTGCACCCAAATCTGAGCACTCGGGCCTACAGCATTTTCGCCTCCATCGAAAATGCAGCCACCGCCGCCGGGATTCGATACTGCAACCTACGGGTCAGCAGCCGAGTATCTCAGCCCTTAGCCAGCATAGACCGCCCCGGCGGGGCGCGTATGAACACGCAAACATGAGCGTGAAAACGGCAAAAGATAATGACATGGTGGATGGTACGAAACTGATTAATTAAAATCGCTATAACCGGACCTCCATTAATTGACAAAGCAAAAAAATTGCCCGCAGCTTCCCTCGGGGGAACACTGAGGAGGATGCAGAGCATATAATTGGTTAACGGGGTGTTAAAGTGCGACTTACTTGGGTCGATGGCTAAATTGGTTAACGTGGTTGTGAAATGGGGTGTTAAATTGCGACTTACTTGGGTCGATGGCTAAATTGGTTAACGTGGTTGTAGGAGGGGGTGTTAAATGAGTGAACACGTACACACGTATGCGAAAGGGCGGCGCTGGTCGAAGGGACGTCGATCATTGTGTTTGTGGATTCGTTGGAATTCATTTCACCGCGACCTTGGACGTCGACGCGCCGTACAAACCAACCGACGAGCGGCAACTGAGCGAGCGAGCGCCGACCTTGAGTATATATACAGCGCGACGGCGCATGCACTGTCAGCTGTCGAATGTTCGAGAAGGGGGAGAAGCGCAACGGCGCATGCGCGCGCGTCAGCTGCCGATGTTCTCGAAGCGCGACGGCGCATGCGCGCTACATTATACAGCTAGCGAATGTTCGTGAAGAGGAGAAGCGCACACGGTGTGTAGAGGAGGAAGGGTGCACAGATGGTGGAGGAGTGAAGCGCGCGCGGTGTGTAGAGGAGGAAGGGATGCACAGATGGTGGAAGAAGGAGGAGGAAGCTTGCGGACGGCGCCGCACTACAAGCCTCGAGTATTAGATGTTCCGCATCTAAAAAAGCAGAATCTAACAAAAAGAAGTTTCTAAACAAAAAACAACGACGCTAGAAAACTGTGATCCCGAATAATAAAACACAAAGAAAAACAACTTGTGTCAGCACGCCATGTCACTGGCACATTTTGAGTAAAAAATCGCATACCTTGAGCCTCAAGTGTGATCAACAAGCTTGTTCAGACATTTTTTTCTTCTTTTGTTTTTATTTTTTAATTATTGTTGGTAGTTTTAAATAAATATATTATAATAAATAGAACGCCTCAATAAGACCCTGGTGATGCAGCAACGCGTGCACACTGCGATATACGTATCAAAGCAAAACTTGAAAACTGGTCTATAAGAGAATGGTTCTATAGTGTCGTGATGCATTCTTTTTGTTGTTTCGGCATTCGTCATGTGAGATTGCTTCTCAAATTTTCAATACCGCTCGAAGAGTTTGAAGTGACTTCCAGTGTAGGAAGATGTTGCTGGCGGGGCATCGAAGTGTAAGTTTGTATACTTTCCATGAAACATTTGTTTGCACAAAAGAGGTGATACTCTATGATAAAGCACATTATCATTTTCTTACCCACTGTCTTGCTTCTAAGCACGCCCGAGTACATTGACGCGACCACCATCACAAGATATTAGAAAGGCTCAAGCAAAAAAAAAAAGCGACAGGAAAACTACTTTTGCACGACCATCACTGATACGTGCTAAGGTTGTAGTTGTGATGAGGAGTTTTTTTACGATGCTCAAACGAGCTCGACGAAGCACTTGCGTGAGTTTATACTATTTGCATTCATCCAAAAAGAAGGCTGCGAGCGCTTCTGTTAAATCATGCTTTGGCAGGGGATGCCATACCCGGCACAAGTTTTAGCCCCCACCCCCTCGCCACGCTCTCCAAGAGCAACCACAGCCCGCCTTCCTTTGAGGAAAGTCATTCTTTGTGAGTGCCCGCCTAGTAGCAACATATTGGCGCTTATCCAGCCTACTGAACTTAATTGCTGAGCCTTTAGTTGATGCTCGGCATCAAAGAGCGTCGTTCGATAAATTGGGCGCGCGTTATAGAAAACTGCAAGCATGACATTCTGCGTCCTTGTGCTTCGCTCTTCCAGCGCAATGATGCAGTGGCCGCGACCATAAAAGAAACGAAGCCCAATAAATGTGATATTGTGAGAGCTTTGCGCGAAAATAATGCGATGCAGTTCGCCTTTGTAGCGCCCGACACCGTTCCATAAGCTATTTTCGAGAGTTGATCTTTTTCGGGGCTTCGTTAGGCAATTTGTAGCGATTGTTCGTGCGTAGAAGTCTGTGACAGATGCTGCGTAGAAACTTCGAATGAAAAGAGGTCATTAATAACACGCTGCGCACACAACTTGAATGCATGCGCCAACCGAGAGCGTTGGTTACAGGGGCAAAGGAGCCGCCATCCTCTCCCACCTTCCAACTTCCCCTCAAACTTCAGACAGATCTATAGTCTGAACTGAAGTTGTGCCTTGACATGTAATGTGGTGTGGAAATGAACCCGTAAACTTCAATTCTGGTCGCATGCAGGGATTCCTAATTTATTTTGTTAAGACTGACTATGGCGTATCTTTTCGTTCCTGCGTTATTATTTGTACACTTTCTCAGCAATAACGTGGTTACTGAGCGACTGTAAGAGGGATATGCCACAGCTGGCACCGTTCCAGGGAACGGGCGGATGGACAGGCGTGTGTATGACACACTGAAGGCTTTCGCCTAAAGAGTTTTTTTTTTTAAATTTCGTTCCAACGAGCGTGCTAAACGGTAAGCAGGGAGGAATCGCGCGAAAAAAGCCACGTCAGCATAGGTCATGACTCATGACTTTGAGCGTGCGTTACGAAAATCATAAAACTTCCTATCATTACACTAGAGGTAAATCTGGCGCAATAGTATCTATAGGAGCTGCCATGCATGGCGCTTCAGCGAGCACGGGAATGATGGGTAGTACATGTATTCGTCTTGTCTTCGTACTTTCGGCTCCGTTCGGCTTCGCGTGGCTTGGGGCTGTTTTGACAGAAAACGATGATAAGCAGTTGTTTAGCGGTTGCATGTCCCCGCCGTAACCTTTTAGGTTCACCAGTTCAAATCGGGTCGCGAAGTTCGAAATGGTGATCTCTTTTATTCGAAACAAAACAAAAACACACAGCAATAAACAAAGCCACAAGTGCGTTTGAAGCTTGTAAGCACGAAGACTATCCAAATCCGTGTACTCCCCGCCATTCCAATGGTCGCTGACCGAACGAACTTTATGGTGAAAGGCGATCGCTTTCTCCCGGTGCTAATCCTGCGTGCGAGTATGGCTCACTGTGTAATGTTAGCAGGCTATGGGGCGCAGCGCCGCCACTCCGTAGAAAGAAGCGCATCTGATCCAAAGGCGGCACTCGATATACGTTGGCTGTCGGCCAATGGCGCGCTGCGCTGTTCGACGCTTGATAGCAGGCGCTGGCAGCTTCGAAGAGAGTGAGCACAGGGCTCTGCCTGAGAAAACGGCAGCTTCGCGCTTCGCTTGTACGCTGTCATTGTCGCGAACGACTGCAAGGTTTAGCTGAGATGCCCATGGAAGGGTCTGCTTATACGCAGGATACCGTTTCTCACCAAGCCCAATCGAGAGATCGTTCATAATCGCTTCAAAGCGGCGCTTTACCGAAAATCGTACAGTACTGTCGCAAATCGATATGCAAAGGGTGTATAGTGTTGCGACTTAAGCTCAAGTGGTGTTTCGCAGGCGTTCATGTTCGAGAGCTCCCTGAGCATGGCGGTGACGCCGTGGGCCGAGCACGAGTCGCAGGCGCTCGACAAGGAGTACTACACCTGCTGGCAGGGACTGCGCAAGAACTTCGACCCCAGCTGGAAGCCGTAGTACGAGTACAGCAATGTCGGTGTCATCCGCATGTGCCTCGCCGCGTCGCAGCTGCCTTACGCTCAGCAATAAAGTGTGACGCTTGTTTTCGTATAATGGTGAAAGCGTGTGCTTACTTTGCCTGCAGTGGAATCCCCGAAGTTTCGTGAGGAGCATTTTTCTCCATACAGCTGCAAATCTCGCAAGGCTAAATTCGCGTGCAACCTACATCTTCCTTCCTAAACTGCATAGTTCTGGCACACTATAACGCAGAAAATACTCGGCGGACAAAACTCAAGCAATGACGACAGCGCTCGTCGTCGTCTGTGGTTTTGTCCGTCGTGTGTTTTTTGCGTTATAGTGTGGCATAATTATATACCAACAGGCCCAACTCACCACCTTAATCAAATACAAACAACCACTGCATGCTACCTGCTAAGAGCAAAGCAAGAAATCTCGTATAGAAGCATGGATGGAAAGTGATATCTCAAGCCCATGATGATATTTAGTCTGTATAGTATCGGCAATATGTAAGTAGTTCTCAACCGTGGGCTTGTAGAAGTGGTGGGAATCCCCTCGAAGAGAGAAAACAAAGGACGGGGGTGATAAACTAACACCACATGCAGCGTTAATAAGGTGTCTGTCACGGGATATATAGTGTGCCTCCAAGAATGCTTTTTTATGTCAATTTTTTTTAAATTGCTTTCACAGATATCCTGGGGTCCGCGGAACTTCATTTCAGAACCACTGGATTATGTACTGAATGCTCTCTTTCTGCAATGCTTTGCCAAGATGCTCAGTGTGCAGAGACTACCCAAACATCATCATGGTGGATGGTAGAGTGCATGGTTAGGGTGGAAGAACACTACTAGCATAGCACAACGCTGGGATGAAGTACTATAGCCACGCTAGTCGTAACGATATCTCAAGTTGGCAAGAAATAATTGTATTTGAATGAATATTTTATTTAACGTGCGTGCCGGCAGGAATGACGGCAAGGCGCTATAGGCCAAAAAGAGTGTGATACGCCGGCGAGACCTGCCACATCGCGTCTTAAGCAGTGTACGTGCGGCCTCGGAATTTCGTTTGCGCTGTATAAAAAATGCGTAGTGCGCTCATCGATTCGGTTGTTGAATATGAACTCAATTACACAATACGTAGAGGCGTAAGTTTGGCGGGAATATTCCGCGTTATTTGTGGTAAAGTGTATACACCGCCACATGCCGGCGCGGGAAATTGGGTTTTTAGAACCAACGAACTACGAAGACACGTTTAACTCATAGTGAAACAATGCGCGCATAGTGTACGCCCTAGATAGTCCGCAAACGACGCCTGTCATATTTGCTTCGAAAGGGCTCAACCTTGATCCGGCACATCAAAAAGAATACGCATGAAACTAGACACACAATTAGGACGATGTGAGAGGGGGAATCTATGGCGTATTGACGCATTCCCACATGCTGACAGAATGTCACACCTCGGGCTGGTCCGTTATAAATAATTAATAGTAACAAAAATACAGCGCAACTTCTTCAGGTAGAGTCGAGCCTTGATCAGTAGCACACATCCAAGCGGGGGATTGGCCGAGAACCGGGTAGTTTTACAAATTAATTAATTAATTTTAGATTATATGTCGTCTATTTAATAATGAATACAGGAGAAAACAGAAAGGGAGAAAAAAAAAATGCCTGCTGCCGCCGTCGTAGGCATGAAGGTGAAAGGTTCATAGGAATCAGCGTATAACATGAAAGTGAAACGTATTTTATTTTCACAGAATTAGAGCTTATTGCGCTCTACTTCTGAGATGAAAACTCGTACAATGAATGCCCATTGGTGTAGAGTAGCTACAGCGCTAGTGCGTGGACGCACCCGCATTGCCGTCAACACCTCCATCACGGCGGCTAACACCCATGATCATGATTTAACCGTTGTGGTAGCTGAAGTTGTCAACATGTAAATTTAGGCCACGTGACATGGACAAAGCGTATCGTGAATCCCGCGCTAATATGACATCGACAAGCACACAGTAAACTATATCATACTCGATACTTGGACGATCGTGCTTCGCACGACTTTCCTAAAGAGAGTCAACGTGCCACTCAAAATGGAGTAACTAGAACGTGACTCTCACAAGTGTAAAAAGAGAGTCAAAGTTCTTAAGAGAGTGGGATGAAAGCACTCGTCTTCAGATGGCAGGTACGTGGGTTGCAATGTAGTCGCACGAATACATTTTGCCCCTTAGAATTTCTTTATCTATCCTTTTTTCGCTCACCCATCAAAGTTATTGGCTCTCGCATCTGATAATTCGGTGCACGTGTTCTGGGAGATAAGCAGTAGAAGAAGACGACCAACAAGAAGAAGCGGATAAAGAGAGCGTGCGCTGGCTAACAACGACGACCATTTTTGTTCGGAGCTGATTAACTAATGGCCACGTGAAACAGCTCCATGGTTTTAGGGTTGAAAAGAGTGGTAAGCCACTCATGTATGTATGTGCGTGTGTCTTAATATGTCAACATATACACATGCCAAATTGGTATATTTTGAAGGTTGGTGCATTAACGTATCGTATACTGTTCCTCCTTCCCTGACCCCCTGGTTACGCCAGCATTGAATAAGTGGAGTGCAGCCGCAGCATAGGATGATACTCGCACGAGCTCCTGCAGCCTTGTAGGCGATAAGGTGTCACAAAAAAAGGAATGGGGCATGTGATACCCATAAAGGAACGATGACTCGTAAGAGATTTACATGCACGAAGTACTAAACGTACTAAATAATAACTAAATTCACCGTTTCACACTTCTCGTGTCACAATGATATATTCAATGTGAGTTTCACCGACCCATCGAAGTCAGTGTGTACCCTGGTGGTTCAGAATGTCTACATCAAGAAGAATAAGGTATGTCTGTTCCTGAACTGTTATAGTGTACTTAGAATATTTACATAGAACGATGCGCAGGAATGTCTGCATAGCGCCATATATATATATATATATATATATATATATATATATATATATATATATATATATATATATATATATATATATAAGTTTTATATTCTCAAGAATGGAATTGTCAAATTCATTATCCTTATATTCTTTGTTGTTTTATTTACGCTGCTTTAATTATTACTTTTTAGGCATCTGTATTGAACATAATCCTTATTTTTACTGAATTGTCTCAGTGCTTGATGTCTAATGGTACGTTTAGCCTCTGTCACTTCCGGTACTCCATTTTTAGTTAGTGGCGTCGTTGTCGTCATTCTCATTCTTCGCAATCGCGTGCCCCATGGTCACGCGCCCTACGTTCTTTGTGGCACGGGAAATGAACCCGTCTACCGACGAACCATCAGGAAAGAACGACTCCTCGCCTAAGAAGGAGACACCCGAGGCTGGTACTGAAGACATTGGAGCTGACAAAAGTGAAGACGCCGAGGAGGACCCCGATGAGTGTCCGATCACCGAACAGTTCTTCAGGAGTGACGTCGACGACCTGCTAGATACGCCGAACGAGAATCAGCCGCTCGAGTTCGCCTCCTTTTCTGACGACTTCGACATTGTAGAAACCACGAACGGGGCCTCTGCGATTCCCGTGGACATCGACGACATCATACAAGAAACCAACGTCACTCTTTCCCGCATAGACACAGAGGAAAAACAGCGATCGGCCAGTCGTAAGCGCGGTGGAAAGGTAAAATCTGCTACTTCCCAAAGGCTCGCTTCTACTGCCGTCATGGCAGAGAAAAAGAAAAGCGAAGGACCATCAGTTACATCCCCTTCGTCACCAGTCGCGAAGCAGCCCCCACATGCTTCCGACAGAGCTTCCGCCAAAGACAAGACATCGGGAAAGGCGAGCACCGACCCTAGTCGGGCACCAGTGGCGACCAGCACTGCGGTGACGAGGGGACCGCGTTCACACGCCAAGCCGGCTCCCGCCCGTTCTGGACGAGACGCGAATCCAAAAGAACAACCGTCCGGTGCTAATTCGCTCAACCAGAGTCCTGCCCCATCACTTCGTAGCCTTGCTCCAAATCAACGCTCGGCGCATAAGCCCACACATTATCAAGGACCGGTCTCGGACTACTTTTCACCCGACACCACACAGACGCCGCCTTCACTCGCGTCCCTTATGAGCCCGGTGACTGGTGGATTAGTGCCCCAGGTCTCTCATACGAACGGGCATAGAACTAGCCCCGTCGCTCCAAGCACAAGACGACGGTCGAGCGCCACCGCGTCTCATCACGGGCGAGACAGCAACGGACGCCGTCGGTCGCTTCGCAGACAGAGCCGTGATGGTGAGGAAAGCTTATCGACGACAGACAGCGGCGACTCGGACGACTTCTACGCCAACTCTCGCCACAGACGAAGAAGTCGAAGCTCCCATTCTAGGCATCGCCGAAGGCGAAGCAAAGATCGAGGTTCTCGAAGACGCCACAGCATAGACAGAAGGGGCAGCACACATCAAGAGCGGGACCCAAGTGTAGGGTCATTTATCGCACATCCTTATGCGGGCTATCTACAAGCTCCGGCTTACCAACTGGTTGCTGCTTACCCCGGGGCACCTGTTTACCCACAGGCACCCGCTTACCCACAGGGTCCACAACAGGCTCCGCCCGCTCTGCGGCCTGCCGCCTACCGAGGGCCTCAAGCATTTGCCCCAGCTCCGGTTCAGAGTCTTGTGTATGAGCGACCGCCAGAATATTTGAAGTCACGGGGTTATGCGGACGCCTCCGCTCCTTTACCACCGTCAGGCTACGCACCGATTCCCGAGTTCCAGCCCTATGGCTCGGGACGCGTATCGTTCGCACCAGGCCCAGCACCAAGCTGGAATACGAACACGCAGCGACGCATGCCCGCACCCGTTACAGCGCCTCCACGGCCGCGCGACTGGCATCAGTGGCAGTCGGGTTTCTTCGAATCAAGGTACGGACAGCTCTGTAAAAAAGGATCTTTGTCCGTGCTGTTTTCACACTATGTACAATGCGAAATTGACGAAATACTACAGCGTCTATTTCTAGACACTGTAAAAATACTCACGTGCACGGCTGTGTACTTCGACTTCCCGTTGTGTGACATATCCTGCAGATCTACCTAATGCGTGCGTCGCATAACGAAAAATTTTA